CGTTTGCATTCATTAGCAGTGAGCTGATGCTTCTTCGAATCATTTGTTCAGTTGCAGTAGCACGATTAAACAACGTTTCAGTTTTAAACACTCTGCTTCCTACCACCAGTGATAGGCAAATGATTTCCCTTGAGGACTATCTGAGAGCAGCGTTTCATTGAAACCATTGTTACCTCCTATGTCTTTTTTTATCTTCATCATTCGAATTTTAACACGATGATAGCTCTTTGAAGTGGTTACATTCCAATATGGTACACGCTAGAGCCGCATTCGACCCATCTTTTGTTTTCAATCGCCTCCGTGTATTTCCACTTTTTTGGACAAAGCATCTTTGACTGCTTTCAGGTGAGCAATCGAACCGGCTTATTCACGGACAGCTCTTCTTTTCTTTTCGCAAATCGCTCTCCTATCAATCCTTTCACAGAGCACCACTATCAACAACCAATCATCATACTGAGGACGACAATACACTGAATAATCGGTCAGCGATTACTTTTTCATTCGCTTCCATTGGAATATTTTCATTACGCATGCTTTCAGCTGTCCTCTTATCAAGTGCCTTCTTCCGTGAACTGTTTTGGTTAACTTCATGAGCAGTTGTACACACTTGATGTCCTAATCACACAACAACACAAAAATTCATACCGTAATGGCGATTATGCATTCATATCATTTGCAAACTGCAAGAATGCAACTTTGATTCGTTATATAGGTGCTTTGGAATTCGTTCGAATCACTCTTTAATAATTATTATTTGTTGCGTTCTGGTGGGTTGCTTATTGATTGAATTTATGCAAAAATAACAAATGGCTCGATAAGGACACTGATCATAAAATATTCATAATATTGTTGAAGTATACTGCTAAGACTTTGTGAATGAATGCTACTGAAGCAGTTTTTCGTTTCAGTCGAACCGATCGATGAGTGCTGATGATTGAATAATGAAGGGTTTGAAGAAACTAACAATAGGGTCAAAACATTATTATTGCTGTCGATCAAAATGAATGAATATTCAAAGAAAGCAGAGATATTCACCGTAGAAGAAGCTAAGTTCATCGACTTGAGCACCACTAAGATCACCAAATGAACAAATGATGAGGTTCATTTGGTTTAGAGGAACACATGGGAGCAGTTAAGAGATGATGTATGGAAACTAGTGATTGATTGCTTCTTATGAGTATTGCTGTTGCCACTGGGAGAAGTGAAACTGATGATGGTTGTAGCTTGATATTGTTAACGTAAGTGCTGTCTTTTGTTTGTGAACGCAGATTCTAGTGGATCATGAAAGCAGTTTAGCAAATTATCACTGCGATTATGTATCATCTTGGGGATAGTATAGAGCAATTTGCATGTTGACATTTGATTACAACCTAGTGCGAACAGAATTCAGTAAGTTAAGCAGTGAGATGATTCAAGTCTGTGATGATCAAAGAGTGCCAAAATTTTGCTGAAGATAGACAAAAATGATCAGCAAAACAGTTCAACCTTTATTATAAGATTGTGCTTGCGATTTGAATTCTAAGATTGTGCTTGCGACTTGAGTTATTGTCTGATTTGAAAAAAGTATCATTTTTGGTGAAGATGATGATGCGGAGGGACGAATGAAGTTGAACGTTGTTCTTGGTTCTATTCTGAACAATTGGCATCAGACGGAATTTGTTGAAGCGTAAATTAACGATCGGAACAACTAGTGATTGTTGAATAGGCAAAGAAATTGTTTTGTTCAACAATAATTCAAAGTCAGCAGGAGAGCGATCCCTATTGCTAAAGAATGACTTTAGTGCATAATCGTTTAGTGCAATTTCAATGCAGATTACAATGGGGAGAAGCTCTTCAAAAGACAACAACGATACTGTGGAGTGATTTTGGTTTTAGAGTGAACTGATAACAATGCAAAAATTCTGAGATTCATGAATAAAAGGCTTTGTTTCATAACGCGTTTTTCAAAATGTATAATATTAGTTTCATAAATGAACATTTGGGAATACGTTGAAATTGATATATTAGTGAATAGTGAACCTGAGATCAATCTCATATTTAATCTTTTGAGTTCACAATTACAAATTCAGTTTTGCCATTTGTATTGTTTAGTCTTGTTCAAATTGTCCTTTTGTCACGCAATAATTTTGTCTGCTATTTTGATCTATTTTCGTATAGGTATTCGGATTTCTTTTGCAAATTCCTATGTATTTATGATGGAATGATGCTCATTTAATTTCAGAAAGAAGATAAAATTTATAGCGGGATGATTGCAAGAGTCAAATGATGTCTTGCCATATTCAGTTCTTGTTCCCGTGTTCAGCTAGATTATTTTAGAACCGAAATTTGCTGACTGATAATGCACTGTGCGAAGAAAGTTCACATTACTTGCAAATTGAAGATAGCCTGCAGTCCAGTTTGAATTGACTCGTGAAGGTTGGCTTCCTTCTTGGTGGTTTGGTTATTACTTTACTTTATGCAAATGTTTCGGCCAATATTATTTCTGATCGATGGTCTTCAATATTTTTAGCGAACATACTTGCCAAATTTCAAAATGCATTAAAATTTCTGTCTGCGATAGCTTGAATTTCTCAGGGAATGTATCAGCCAGCTTAACCAAAATCAAATCTTAGGCTGAGCATTAGCTTAGATGCGAGCTTGAAAGTAAGCCAAGCCCACACCCGAACCTAATTCACGTGAATAGTCCTGAATTGTACTCGTGTTATTTCTATGTGCCGATCGGATCAGGTCACTATTTCTTCTTCAGCCTGGTGTGAAATTATTGTGATCATAGGTGACGGGAGACTCATTTTCAAGGAATAATTTGTTCGAATATTCGAATTCGATCAGTTCGGTACATGGATCATAATATTATTGTTTTCGAATGTATCTTAATATCTCTCTCATTTACCAACAAATATCGAATCTGGCATTTTGTTCCAGCCGTACATATCGTCCGTGGGAGAGTTGAATACTTTTTTGTTGCATCGCTTCGGCAATCCTCACTAAACACTAGAGGAATCAAATAATTCTAACTTCTGTCGATGACTATTGACGTTAAACACTGAAGAGTTGTAGGCATAATTGAGTTTTTTTTGGTACGCATGCATTTTGCTCTATTTCAGTAATAATTCATTACAAAGATACCGACTGTCAGTAGAATAATGCGATGGAAACTTTCATGAATCTTTGAAAGCGCTGAAACGCAGTATTTATTGTGGATGATGAATAATTTTTGCAGCGATTCCAGTACATTTTAAATAGTAGTGATAGTAGAGTAGAACCTAAAATTAGTTTGAAAATGCGTACTCATTCATCATGTTCATAATTTTCCAGAGGGATGTGAATGTTGAAATAGACGAGTGATGCTTATAAAAATACGACAGATTCTAGACTGCTTAAGGTCGAGCAATCTGTTGCAGTGATTTAGCGATGTTATTCGATGGCAAAGCTTTACCCATGGGAGACATCTACATTTTAGTACTGCTGTATCTATCACTCATCAGATGCGCACAAACTACGCATCCGCCAGAATCTCCATTTCACTGCAGATTATTCAATGCGCATTTATTCCATCATCGTGCCGTTCTAAATGATGATCGAATAAATGCGTATGTCTTACGTCTGATCAGGCGTTTTTATCTTGCTTCGTGAGCAATGAAAGTTCTTCAGCGCGCCGGTATGGAGTATATGCTCTCAAGCTACACCAGCATCTTAAGCCATGCAAGTCAAGTTGTTCCGTTTATTGTTTGAGTCTTTTAGCACGAGCAGTTTTTCGCTGGGAGAATTTTCTTTGCAGTTTCATTGCATCGTGATTCATGATTTGTTAATGATGACCTGCACTCCAACAATTAATTCTTCGTAACGATGTTGCTTATTAGTTGATGCATTAGTATTCTTTTCCACAATTCCGTTCACTTCTAAAGTAACGCTTCTTGAGGCGTTAATAGGCATTATTCGCTATTATACATCGTTCAAAACTACTTCAATCTAACAACTGATAACAAGTGACATTGTTCGATGATGAAACATTCAGACATTTTGCTTTGTAATCACTTTATGAACAATTCTATTCCAATAAGAAACATGACTTTTGGGTAAAATTTAAATCGAGATGATGTTTCTGATGTTTTCTGATGCATACAACTTTTGCGAATGCTGGGCACTGATTAGCTAAAATGAGTACAACTAATACGCAGTGCTTCATTAACAATGCATGCGATTCCCTCGACGTGACTAAGGAATTCATGACATATTTAGTAGTAATGTCACTAAAATTAAGAGCAATTCTTATTGAAGGCGTTCATGGAGGTCACAGAAAGCAGTCTTAGATACACAGAGAATTGCTTAGCTAAAGAAACACCACTTCTTGATGATCTGACTTTTGATGTCAATCGTCTGTTACCTAAACGATAAATAAAGTCATGGGATGGATATGATTTTCTAAGATACCAAAAAAATCATGGTTTTACCGTGATTACCAAAAACTAAATGTTTTACCTGGAAAATGTAGGTGAATGACTGAATTCTTATTCAGTTCTTGTAATCAGTTGCTACCTAAGTTGCGCAGAAAAGTGTTCTTGAACGGACATCTTTTATTGCCATATTCATTGAAATGTGCTTTCTACAAATTATCTGATTGTGGTTGTTTGCGAAAAGTTGTTAAGGAATGAAATGAAGTGATGCAGTAGTGTTAGAATTTGCTATGAATCAATGTTCTCGAAGTGATGCAGAGATTATGTGCAACGCGTGAAACTTTGCTGTATGTCAAACGAAAAATTTTGACATCTCAATTCTAGGATCACCGAAAAAGAAATTGATATAGCGGAATATGTGATGGCACATACAACAATAAATGAGAAGAAGCAAGTGTTGAATCAATCTGATGCAGTTTGATAAACATGCTGATCATTGATAAACGACTCAGAGTGCATTGATGTTGTTCACTTGAATTCAGTTCAATTTGGGATATGAATATGAATAAGTAGGAACAACGTTTATGAGAGGAAAGGAATGACGAAATGACGACTCGTAGCAAGAGTATGAAACAGAAATTTCGAGATGGAACATCAACACCAACAAGATGCAATCCAGAGCAAGCAACAAACGTGGACGAAGAGCGTGGTGACGATGAGTCAAACGTGCAGTTATCGCTTTATGCGATCCTAAGCAATGCTCGCTTACCAAGTGCCACTGCAGCTAGCTCTGCGAATGCCAGCAGCTATTCACCGCAATTCTACACGTTAGTACCAGGAACGTATGCATCTGGTAGATGTTTTGTACAAACTGCTAGTGATCAACATACTGCCACTGCACCACCACCGACTCGCAGATCCGTCTCGAAGGTACGTTCCAATATTGATTAGCTGCTGTTACAAGATTAATTACGGTCGAGCACTACCTCAACTTCGTTCTACCTCGGCCTCAATCTCATCAGAGTTCAGCGTACTTTACTCTACCATAATTCAAGTTTATTCAACCTTCATTCAGAATATACCACCTTGAAATTCTGCAATCATGGCTAGCACCATTACTTGAGCAAGAAGAGGAATTTCCCAGTAAGAATAAGCAGTAGAAGGACTCCTCAAGAAGGAGGAGTTCTTCAGAAGGAGCGGTTCTCCGGAGGAAAGTAGGATTCCTCAGAAGAGGAAGGACCTCACCGTCAGGTAGAGAGGACAAAACACTGAGGGAAAACGTGTAAGAAATACAGTCACAACTGAGAACTTCTTAACAAAACTTCCTTGAATTTCCGAAGTTTATGATATCTAGACAAAAGTAGTAAAAAGGTAAGCCGAAATAAATTAGCTGCTATATGATAAACAGTCGAAACTGGCGGAGATAACCATCTTCCTTGCAAGCAACACATTTTTAGTTGTTCATACTTCTTAAATATACCGACAAAATTATGTCCAGTGTAGATTGGAACTTATGACACCCTGTCTGCAACATGTACTTGATAAGTGCAGTATTTCACGTTAGCAGTTCCAGCTTATTCAATGTTGAATAAAAAATCGGTCGAACGCCCATTGTTGAGCATCATTAGTATTAATTGATGAGAAGAGCTACTTAGTCTGGATGCTGCCCTTGTGTATCTTGTTTATTGCTCTCTCATAGGGCTTCTTGAATCAGGTGTTTAGTCGACAATTTTGAGCTGATGACATCAAAAACTGATACGTTTAGGGATCAAAACCTCAAATATTAAGTATTACTCAACTTTATTATGTAATCATTTCTTTTTTTCGATCCAAACTGCAAAAATTTTGTAATTTATGCGTTCACTTCGAATTTCTATTGTTCACGCATTCATTATTCTTCTATGTCAGTAGCGTTCTCTACCATGAAAGTGGTATACAAATCAACGTGCCAAATAATCAGACTCACCGAACCGCTCTTTGAACTTCCAACAATGCGTCCTTTGAACAGTTTCATATATATTTATGAGAATTGCTTTGAAATTAATTAATCAATGAATCAAACGAAGATTAAATTACTCCAAAATTTCGATTATTATTCTCAAATCTCATTTATTAATGAATTATTCACTGTGATTATAGAATGTTATGAAAACAGCAACAAACCAAGCTTAAATAATGAAGAGGAGCAAGTGAGTTTGGCCAGACGAATAATCACTTATCTATGATTATAATCAGATAGACGCATTCTGCGGGTGGAATTCACAGACAACAAACAGGTCGGCTCCTTTTAGGAGCTGTTTGCGAATCATGGACATTCAGAGTGACCACTGTTGAAATATAGTAAAGGACGGTATAAGGAGCTGATGCTAGCATGTCTACAGTAAAGCTATAGCGAGCAATACACTCACTTATAATTATGAGCACAGCAGGTGTTGCTAAGCATTTGATGGGAAATACTGCTCAGGAAAACTCCCGATCAGCCTGAAAATGTTATAATAACGTAAGTTCTAGGTTACCGAATTATACTAGAGGTCTAGTTCAGCTGAAATCTCAGCAGTCATACGGCTGTGAACATAGGTGATTCAACCAGATTTGCACAAGATAAGCAACAATTTAACTTATGCGGCCTGAATTGCCACTTAAGTTAAATTGCTGCCTGCCTTGTTTGCAGATGATGGATGATATATGTATATTATCAATACTCACTTCCTAAATTCTCCAGAAAGGCATTGTACCATTACTATGAGCAATTCATTTACATTTGGTACTGACAGATCATCAAATAACGTACCTACCGTAATGTCGAATGGACCATTTTATTCACTCAATTTGTTCGAATAGTTAATGATATGTATGATTAATTCATGGATAAATTGCTGCTCACTAATCAGACCAAAATGATGACGCGTTATGAACTGCCTTATCTGTTGTTTGCAGCAGTCTTCGAAATGTCACTCGCTTTCTTCAACACTTCTTATCTTCTCTCCTAAGATGTGTTCGATATGCGCTTCGAAAAAAGAGATCGTTTCTGAAATTACTCAATCACGAAATGCAGCTCCACTGAAACGATATTATAATTCAAAAACGTTAGCTTATCAAAAACCGCATTGTTAGAATGATAGAATGCTTCCAAAATCCAATTTTATCGAACGATTGCAATCCAGCGAAATTATGGAACTCCCTTCACGAATGGCTTCAAGATTAATTGACAAGTGAGAGATTAATGGACATTTATGAAGCAGTTGAAATGAGCTGAGGAGTCATTCGATTATTCATCATATAAAGGATTAGAGCCGAGCGACAAAGATCTGGAATGGAGTAAGCAAAGTTCAGTTCTAGAGTGATGAATCTAAAATCACAAAGATGCGTTTAATTTCCGTCATCAGAACATCTTTTGTGAGATATGTATAAAAAACACTTTCTGAAATTATCACTGGAGAAAAGTAGACATTTTCATTTCAATGAGTAGCTGCTTTTGCAGCAAGTTTGGTGCGTTTGTTTATCATTGTTCGCTAACGCTGTATAATGGAAGAAGTCTTCTGCGATGCAACATCTGCATATTAGGATTATGATTTTACCAAAAGCTGCTAGATAAACTCTCACACAGAAAAAGTCAAAAGAAATGTTCATTGCGTCGAATGTTCTTCGGTGATTTGTCTAATTTGCCTGTCTGATACGTTTTGGATATGCATAAGTTATTCTATGCAAAATCTTCTCGTTATAGATGCAAATACCTACTCGTTACAGTGGCAGAATACACTAGTTTTCTGATGTAAATTGGTGTGTGCATGTGCAAAGCAAAGCAGATAGATAGATATATGTTGGCAGTTTCAACAAAACTAACAGTGCTAAGCAACCGGTAAATGAAACTTCAAAGAATGTGTTTAGTTAGGTTAATATAAGCGTGTATAATATGACTGCGAGTCTATGAAAAATTAACATTTTGTTGCATATCGTTTCCCACATAATAAATTCATATTCGTTAATTATTGCTGAGTTTCACAACATTCTCACACATATCAAATCACTATGCCCATCCCCCAAGAGGAAGGTATTAATATCTGTAAGACGCACAGTAATAGTCTATTAGGGTACTTGTAAGTGTTCGTTTCTCTTCGATATGGTATCATTTGCATTGGCTTGGTCTAGTGATAAGTTAGTGAATGAACAGTCTGCATTCAGCACTGTTCAATCGGCAGCATGATCGTTTAATGTGCTTGTTTAACTGTAATGTGGACCAAAGATGAAGACGAATCCAGCTCAAACAGTCCTCCTTCTTCTTCAACAACAACCACTGAGGTTAGCCATTCAGTTGACTCTTCAAAGACAACACTAAAAACTTAACAAAATTCACTTAGCAATTGCTTGAGGTAGTCTAATGCGTAGAGTCGGAGAACAGAGGAAATTATTACATTTGGTGTTCAATATATTTACATTCGATTCCTATTTGATTGCCATTTCATTGAATTCAGTTATATTTGGCAAAGAATTGGTGGGCGATAAGGGAAATTTGAATGTAGATTCGGGATCACAATCCCCAGTTACCTGAAGATAACACGTTTGCTAACATTCAACGAAATAAAAGCCAAATCTTATATATTTTATTAATACTTTATGAATGAAACGTTTGAATTTTCCATACATTTCTGATTCAAATTTTGGACGATTGCTTGAATTTATCCATCACATCGATCCCAATGTTCTATGTGATCTATCCAGGTGGACCTCTCAATGCCTAAATTAGAATGCATGGTAATTAGAAACTGCCGGATTCGAGAGAAACTGTCATAAATTCTTGGTATAGTTTCATTGACTCGTAAGTCAAATTTGTGCTGTTTAGATAGTTTTTGGGATAATTCTTCATCACAGAGAAAATACCTTTTTGGTATCCAACTGCATGCACTAGATGTTATTGTAATTAACAACAAGCCGTAACTGAATGGCATTTTATATCAAATCTTGGCACTTTACCATTTGTTGCCAACGCTATTTGGAATTTGTTAAATATTATCAACTACTCATCAATTGTCGATAGGATTTGATGAGAAGGTTAGCTCGGCTCTCTAAACCAGTCCCAAATTCTTAATTCAGTCATTGAAAACAACTGAGTCATCGAAAACTGCGGAAAATTACAGCCATAACTCATTATAATGCTAATCCGGTTAGAAATTGAACCGCTTTCTTATTCACAGAAAATGCGATCACGCGACCAACGCCCTAAATAGGCGAATTTGAAGAGCAAAATCAATCGAAATAGTAAAATGAAGGTGACAAATCAAGTATATTATTTCCGTTCAGTCAATTGCTCCAACTGCTGGTGATGAATGAATTAAGAGTTGATTAGAGATCAAGCGTCAGACAAAACAATGATGCGTGAAATATTGCTCGATAAAACGATGAATACTCCAATTCACTCGATTATGATTTGTCTCATTCCAATTGATAAGCCAATAAAATACACATATATACGCTTACAGTGACTGCTGACGGTCATTTTTCATTATTCATGGGGACCTCAAAACAGTGTTCGTAAAGAAACATACTTTGCGAGTGCTTCTTTTATGTCAGTGAGTCTATACGACAGTGGCTGATCAGACATCTACCTCATACTTTGCCATAAATAATTCATACTCTTCGACTGATCAGGCAGCTGAACGGTTAAAAAATTAATCAGGATATCCTTTAGAAGAAACGATTGAGAATGCATTCAACAAATGCATTGTTGAAATATCTTCACGAAAAGTTTGATGGAAGAAGTTGTGAGCTGAAATTGAGTTGTTCTGCTGCGCATATTGGAATTTTACGAGATAGGTATGAAAATTGAATGTGTTACCGGCAACAATGCTTATTGCTACAAGTGTAACTGAGCGATGGACACACATCATCGCCCTATTTAGAAGATATGGATGGACAAAACATGCATGTTTGTGTGAGTGTGTATCCAGCTCATA